CCCTCCATAAGATAGAGATAGAGATAGAGATCCTCCTTTTGAGATAGAGATATTCCCAAAGTTTAGGTTTTTTTTTATCTCTAACGGCTCAAAAGTTAGAAGGGGGTGCGGGATTTTTGAAACATCCTGCATTTTGCCCCAAAACGGAATGAACTGCTCCTCTAAAAAACTTGATAGGGTGCAGTATGGAGTCCTTGTGTGAAACGGTCACTTGTTTACTTGATTCAGATTTTGTCATTTTAATTTTAAAATATGAAAGGAGGTAATTACTTGGCAGGCTGACTGAAGAGACCACTAGGCAGGATACGAAATTTAACACCCCCACACATGTTTTATTATCGAAATCTGATGATTGGAGCATTAAAACGTTTCGAATTAAACACTAGACGAAAACGGTGGTTTTTGTGTAGGTTAATTTTATACTTCCCTCTCACACAAGAGTTTACCTGGGTCCAATCCAGCATTACATCAATTTTGGTATATTTTATGTTGGAAGAATTTTCCTGTGTAGTGACTTATTTTTGACAAAATCAGAGATATTTTATATCAAAAGAGGAAGAAAGTGTGTATGAAACCAAGCTCTAGTCTCTTGCCTAATGCAGTGTGAACTCTTAACATTTACCACTCACTCATGAGTTAATTATAGAAGTTTTTAACATTTTTAATGTATTTTTCATGATATTTTGATTAGTAAACATATCCCATGTAGTGTTTGGTTCTTACTCTTTTCAGAGGTCCATTCTATCCTCCTTTTAATTCATATTATTTTTAAAATTTTGCAAATTATTATTTTTTTTTTTTATTATAGGAGGAAAATCAAATTCAAGCAAGTTTCCTTTAATTCCTGGTGCTGGAAGAATTATTTTTCAAGATAATATAATACGCTTTGAGAAAGTGCCTTTAATAACTCCAAATGGTGATGTGTTAGTCGAGAACCTGACGTTTGAAGTAAAATCTGGAATGAATGTTCTTGTTTGTGGACCCAATGGGTGTGGAAAATCATCACTTTTTAGAATATTAGGAGAAGTAAGTTTTTATTTCCCAGATAACTCACAAGAAAGGTTTTTTGTTTAATTAAACTTTTCTTCATTACATAGCATGGTTTTAATGAACAGAAAAAGTGATAATGAGGTCAATAACCGTTGACGCCATGATTACAGAAAAATCAAATTATTGAAACTCACAGGATCAGTGATCATTGTGTCAACAACCATTGTGTCAAACACAAAATGAGCTTATCGTTGACATCTTGCTCTGGTCTGTCGAATACCAAGTAGGCAGTGATCATGGTGTCAACGATTATGAAGTCTACGAAAACTTAAAATCTGCTTGAGCCAAATTTTAAAAAACAAAATTTTTTGTTGACACCATGATCGTTGACACTACAATCATGAACAATGAGGCTCCTGAAATTTGTGGCAATGATCACGGTGTCAACGAAAAAACAATTTAAACTTTCTTTTCCTTCCTAAGGTTTCCCTGAAAGTTCATTGAACTTTCAGTGCATCTATTTATCTAATGAGAAAATGCAAATTGATCTTTCAGAAGTGCAAGTACTTGTTGGCATTATACTCATACAGGACAGGTCTGACTGTGATGTCAGTGATTGTGGCGTCAACGATCAAGGTCTAAACCATGCTCATACTCACACTAGAGTGCTCGTCATATAAATGATTGCAAAGATCATTGATCGACCTTGTGAATTTAGATTACAGAAAGTGCTGTGTACTAAATTACTGTTTTAATTTAATCAGCTCATGCAAAAACCGCTAATGTCCATTTTCTGTAATTTTGAGAGAACTGCTAAAAACTGTAGAAGCCTTTTAAATGCGGGATTAAAAAATGTTCTGACATTAAAGGGAAAGATTGCAGAAAAGGATCTTTAACAGTTTCCAGCTCCTCCTCTGTCTGGGACGGAGTAATTAAAAAAAAGGACTCTGGACATTAGCGGTTTTCGCATGATACGTGAAAATCTCAGAGTTTTGGAGCCATTTGATATTATCAAAATTCATTCTAAAGATATTAAAGCGGTAGATTATCATTCTAATAAAGTTAAAAAAGTAAAATTTTGGACAATTGCGGCACTTGAGACAAGTTTCATCACGAAACTACCAGCAATAAATTGCACATTAGCGCTTTTCGCATGAATTGTGCGAGGACGGTTCTAAAACATCGAAAACGCATTTGTTTAAGTATGCCTCCCGGGCGAGAGAATGTATCCCTATCGTATTTTGAGACGCTGAATCCGAATATGATCTCCGTTTTTTCCCATCTGCCTCCAATTTTCGGAAGAAGCCGATTTTACTCGGAAAAATGGCCATTTTTGGGCATTTTTGGTGTTTTTTCGACTGTTAACCCTTACAGAATGTAGATAAAATTTTTCTCAGCTACGAAATACCATTTCGCCAATGTCTTTTTAACTGCTGAGTCTGAAAATGATCTTAATATTTCCCGTTCACCTCTCTGTTTTCCGGAAAAGCGACTTTTTCTCGGAGAAATGAGCAAATTTGACGTATATTTGTCGTGCATGCAATTTATTTTTATAAATTTTCCTAGACCCGTAATAGTAAGTTACTTATGTATTTTGAACTGCTGAATCCGAATATGACATCGGTTTTTGTCTATCACCCTCCAGTTCTCCGGTACAGCCAATTTTTCCGAGCCTAAAATTGTGTATTGTAAAAGCTTTTCCGGACTCAAAGTGTATTCAAAATACATCCAATACCGCACACCTATAAACAAGACAATTTTCCTAAAAAGTTAGGTTTTCCGTCAGAGGGATGGTTGATAACGAATTTCTAAGGTCATATTTGGATTAATCAGCTCAACTTACATGAGAATCAATGTATCACACATGCGGAAAATGTTTTGTATTTTGCTGGAAGTGGGAACAGTCCGGAAAAGCTGTTGGCCTGGAAAAATCAGACGTTTTAGAAAACGGGGGGTTGTCAAAAATGAGTGAAGGTCAAATTCGAGATCAGTGCTTCTTAATACAGCAAGAGAGACCTAAAGGGGATCTCGAATGATTTCTGAGGCGCCCTAGAACAGGAAAATCTTTACAAAAATACCTGAAAAGATCGTTTTCTTAGGAAAAGCGATTTTTCTATAAAAATTGGATTCATTTATGGCGTAGCCATAATGATGCGGAAAAGTCTACATAGATATATTGTTAATTGGGAGGCTGTCAATCAGCGCATCATTAAAATGAACTTGAACTTATACGGTCATAAAATCACGCTGCTTGGGGTGTATGGGGTAAATGATGATGCAACTGTCGCAGTCAAGGACCAATTTTTTGAAGACCTTTATGAGGAAATAACGAAGGTGGTAGCTGGCAGGGAAGTGATTGTCATGGGTGATTTGAACAGCAGAACAGGACGATGAGTCAACTGCAAAATTGTCGGACCGTTCGGGGAGGATGCTGTCAATGATAATGGAGATCGGCTCATTGAAATTTGCTCTCAAATGGAGATGACAATTCTGAATGGTTTTTTCCAGCACAAAGACATCCATAAATATACCTGGGTCCAGCCTACACGAAGATTGAAATCCATCATCCGTGATAGTAAGGCATGCAACTAGATTGAAAGTGCAGCAAGTACGAGTTTACAGGGGACTTTCTTGCGGCAGTGATCATCATTTCCTCCGAGCAGATGTAGCGTTCCCTGTTAAGGGCAGTAAGGACAAACAGCCAATGCAGCAACAACAGCAGAGGCAGGGACCACAAGAACAAGAAGTGTGGTATAATATTGAAAGTTTGGAGCACCCTAGCGTTAAGGCACTGTACAGGAAACGCTTGGATGAGAAGCTGGGGGGCAGAACATCTTGAACCATGGAAGAACATTATCAATTGATTAAAGAATGCATCCACTCTGCTGCAAGAGAAGCCCTAGGTGTTTACAAGCCCAGTAATAAAGAGCAGCGCCCGCACTGGTGGGATAGAGGAATAGAACACAAGATCAATCTGAAGAGGCAAAAATATCAAATTTTCTTGTCGTCTAAAAAAGCAGAAGATAAAGTTGTTAACAGAAAAGTTCAGTCAAAAGTCATGAGCCTCATCACAAGAAAGAAAAATGAAGCTCGGGAAAGCAACTGTAAGCGAATCAAAACACCTACCTAGCGGGAAGAGAAAGTGCCGAGAGTTGGAAGCTAATTAAAGATTTACGCAGAGACATGAAGCGGGATATCTTGTCCGATATCACTTAAAAATCTGGACGATCATTTTAGAGACCTTTTAACGGAGAGGCACCCAGAGTTTCACAATGACAGCACGGACAACGGAACTTTAAACAACTTGGAAATTCATATCGCGGACGTAATTAAAGCGGTCAAAGAGCTGCAAAATGGCAAAGCACTGGGTCCAGGTGGAATCCCTGTTGAGTTAGTTAAGAGCGGGACTTCTAAGCTCTTCGATTGCCTCAGAAAACTGATGCAGCCATGCATCAGGGGTGACGAGGTGCCAGGGGCAGTGGCGTAACGGGCGCCCCCACAGACCCTGCTATGCAGGGGGGCCCAGGCGCCTAGGGGGCCCTCGGCCGCCGGAATTTTTTTTTTTCTCTCTCTCTATTTGATGCTTAGCTTTGGTTTCAAACTTTGGGCATTTACTTACCGAGATGGGGCTTCTTCCTCTGATTTTTATTGTTAGCACGGGGTATTTTATACTTCTTTCGGACTGTTCCTAACTTTTTGTTTGCTGGAGGGCCCCTGCCTTCCAATGTCCACTAAGTGATTACTAAACATTTTTTTCTTTTTTTGTCACTTTTCGTAATTCGGGCTTTGAGAGATCCAAGAACCTAAAGGACCCCAAGGCTCTTGGGGGCCCTTTGATTCTTGGGCCTACGCCCCTCTGTAGATCCTTGGGCCTGGGCTGGGCCCCTGCCACCCTTTAGATCCTTGATCCTTTAGGGGCCCCATTTAATCGGGTAAGGGATCTGAAACGGTGAGGGGTGAGGCATTCCAAGTCCGTGATTTGAGATGTCTCGGGCAAAAAAATGGGAAGGGGCGGGAGGGGGGATAATTTTGGAATTTTATCGACATGGGGGGGGGGGCTAGAAAATATTTTGCGGGGGGGCCCAGCGGAAGTCCGTTACGCCACTGGCCAGGGGAGTGGAAGGAGTCCTGGATCAAGGCCATCTACAAAAGGAAGGGAAGGAAGGACGATTGTAACAACTACCGGGGGCTCTCAGTGACCGGGACAATAAGGGAAGTACACGGGAAGGTATTAAAAGCGAAGATCGAAGAAGAATGGCAAGATCACGAAGCAGAGGAGCAGGCTGGTTGTAGAGTTGGCAGGTCTACGATAGATCTCGTCTTTGTTATTGTCCAGGTCATTGAGAAGAAATTGGCCGTAGCTCAGGAGCTGCATTTAATTTTTGTGGATCTCCAGAAGGCATATGACAGTGTGCCTTTGGTGAAACTCTGGGAAGCCTTGGAAAAATCAAATTTTAATGGGGGGTTGTTTGATGCTATCAAGTGTTTTTATGAAGGAAATTCTACGAAAATTAAGTGTCATGGGGAATTGTCTGGGGGTCATTATGTAACGAAGGGTTTAAAACAGGGATGTTGTTTGTCGCCTGATTTAAGATGATAGGTGGGTTACACACAATAACGTAACACTGGGTTGAGACCAAGGCATTCTATTAAGAAATGCAAGAAATGCAAATATTCAACAGTCACAAATACATATCATGATCACAAGCAAGCAAGGGCAAGAATGGTGAATGCCTCGTTGATGGATGATGACCATCGGTGAGAGGCGATGGGTAGTGACGTCATGATGACATGACATCACTATCCAACACCTCCCCCTTTACACTTTTTTTTTTAGAAACCATTAGGGCATCTTAATTAAAACTTATCTGAAACTATTGGGGCTTCGTAAATACAAATGATCTGAAACCATTAGGGCATCTTAATTAAAACTTATCTGAAACCATTGGGGCTTCGTAAATACAAATGATCTGAAACCATCCGTAAATAATATTTGATCTGAAACCATTAGGGCATTTTAATTAAAACTTATCTGA